ATTTTACATTATGGCCAAAGGGGCATTTTTTTTAAAGTTTTCTGTGTTACCTTTAATTATTAAATATCATATTCTTCGCACTTAAACCATAAAATTTAATTCAACAGCAACATTGCAAAATTTAAATTATTTTTAACGTTTTCTGTGTTACCTTAATAGTTGATGGAAACAGTTTGAAAAGTGAATCAACACAGAAAATGAATCGGTGCAAAATGCCAAAATGAAATTAATAGCCCTTCTGAGCTAACGCTCCTTTGGGCTCAAAACTGATAAATAATGTAATCTAACTACGTACATAATAACAGTTTATATAATATGTAATTAATCTAACAATATTTAATACCAGTTTGTTTTAAATATTTAACAACATTAAATAAATATTTATTGTTGTAACAAAAATATGTAAACAGGCCATTCAAAGAAGTATTGTGGTATCCACATCAGATTCAGAATATGTACATTTGAAAAGAATATTACGGAATTTTTTCATAGAATTATTCCATTGAACTAATTTTGGGTTCACTGTGCTTTCTTGTCTTGGCATTACCGTTGCCTTCAGTGCTATACTAGAGATATAACATTAAAACATAGCTTGTAATTACTTGAACAACATCTTTCATAACAGATCATTCTTGAAAGTATTTAATTGCCAACTCTTCTTCATCTCATAATTGAAAAATTGTACAATTTAGTTCCTTTTTGTCAAAAATTTGCATGAAAACTAGTTTGGATTAGAACATAATGGGTCACAATCTTTGGAACTAGTTTCCAGACACAAGACTGCAACCAATGGTGTGCATGCATACATTTTGGCTTTTGCTCCATTATTAGAAGAGAACTAGAATTCCAATAACTGCAATCTTGTTTAGTTAAAATAGCACAAGACTAATTTCAGTTACAGATGCAAGTTTAATGACCCTTGACAAAATATTTATTTAACTGGCGTTATCAAAGCAACAATCAATACAATATGGTGTTTCAATATTGTATGATAAGATATGTTGCCAAAACTATCCTTATTTCTTTAATGAAATCAGACAGGTTGCCTGGATTTCATGCATTGGTGGAATTTAGGATATGGGAATTTACAGTATTAAGTTTTCCAGAAAATAAAGATCATGGTAGTGAAAAGGATACATAAAAAAAAAAAATATATATATATATATATAGATATGTATATTATTAGCAACACACAAAGTTACATAAAAAGGGTACTTACGTATTATCGCAACAAGTTGGCGATTTGTAAGTTTCAGTTAAAAAAGTTGAATAGAAAGAAAATGTACATTTACTAATTACAGATAATTTTAATACAGTTTTTTATATTATTTTTTTAAAATAAAAATAGCAATTAAACCTTACGGTTTCGAATTGAAATAAGTTGCAAATTATTTTTCGGCGGAAATTTTTTGGCTATTGCTTTAGCACTGATTGAAAACCGTCTCCGCCATTAACAGCTTGAGCTGCCATATAAATTCGATAAGGTATGAGTCAAGATGATGACGGGCTTTCTCTCTGTTTGTTGCGCCATTTGGCTGAGACCATATGCGCTCTCATGTTGTGTGTGAAGCCTTGTGGGATCCACAAAGTTATATTGTGATAACAGTTCCATGCAGAAATCCAGCATTTCGAACTCACTTGATTGTATCCTTTCTAGCAATCCGAATAAATGATGCTTCCTTCCTTGATATTTCGCAATTTTTTCCAAAGAACGGCGCTTCTGTAGGTCAGTAACCAAAAAAGTATTCTGCAAAAAAGTATTGCTTTCAGGGCATTCAATCTAACAAGAAAATAATTTCTTTACGGAACTACGTATAACACGTAGGGTTGCCATAAGTAGGGTCGCCAAATTTGGCGATTTATGCGAATTTTGGCCTGGTTGCGTTAATACGTAAGTACCAAACAAAGTTTCATAATGAAAAATGTACTTCCGAATGTGATACACACTAGCCACTACTTCACCAAGGATACTGCACACACATTTAATATCATTACCTTTGTGTGCTCAGAAGTATGCACGTAAAATGTGCCAAAGAAATATTTTAACTTAAAAAAATACCTTACAGAAGTCCCTAAAAATCAATTTAATCTTTCATTTAATGTATCTCACATTAATGTTACTTAAAAAAAATTAAGATGTTGCATAAAATAAATAAATAGAAAATCAGATTTTGAAAAGTATTCCTAAAATTGAAGAAAAAAGGATTACTATATATCGGTGGTTCTTAATTCTTTTTAGAGGTCAGCACCCCCCTTGAATCAAATAAGCTCTTGCAAAAATGTATGTAAACTTTTTAAAAAAATATTTATTGCATAAACAAATGCCATGTTTATTTACAATATATATTACTATATATTATCAAAAGCAATAGTTAAATCTTTAATAGCTAGATTGTTATTGTTTATTCATAATAATTATACTAAAATGAGGCTCTTTTTTTGAAAGAGCCCCGAGTAAGATGCATTTAAGCGGTTTCTAGCTTTCGTTTTGATGTGCAAAAGTTCTGAAAAATCCCATTTCAAAAATGTAGGAGGTGGAAAATAGTAAAAGTGTCTCTAGTACTGCTTTTGTAAGATGTGGATAAGCTTCTAACTGTTTTATGTCTAGTTTTTCAAATTTTAATTCCATACACACATTAGCTCACATTTTGATATGATCTTTTTTTTTAAAAAAAATTGTTGTCATCCATGGAATTTGCATCAAACAAAAATGGATTGAGCATCCATCTATTAATTTGCCTGATATTTCCTGTGGGGAAAAAAGTATCCCTCAAATGATTCACTCAAATAATTTCTAGTATAATTATTATTTTTTCCAAAACCACTAAATCCAGTAAATGAACGTTTGCTAAATTCCCATGTTCAATTCGACATCTCCAAAGTTTAAATTTTTCAATTAATGCAGATAATTTTTCACTAGCTGTTATTATGTTCTTGCCAAATTCTCCCATTGAAATGCTTTCTTCAATCTTGTGGTTAAATATATCCGCTAGGTGATCTAGCCAAAGCAATGCATCTCTATTTCCAAAAGTTTCCATTAAATCACCAATTTGGTTAATAAGAAACTGTATAATTTCTTTGCACAATTCAAAAATCGTGGTGAGCATGCGCCCATTGGATAGTCACTGTTTTTCCATGTGATAAAGGATCACAGTATGAACAGAACCGATTTCTTCACACAAAGCATGAAAAATATGATGATTAAGTGCTCATCTTCAGATGTACTAAACTATATTCACTGCTGTAGTGAGATATCGTTTCAAATTCTCTTACAAAGTTTTCAGTGCAAGTGCATGATGATGCAACATGTAGTGCATTTTTGTAACTTGCTGTATTTTTCTCTTCATATACAAAATAAATCTGCAATTTTTACCCAACATTGCAGGGGCACCATCAATGCAAACTAAGCCTATAATACTCAAGGGTATTTGGTGATGTAAAAAATTAAAGTAATTAAAAACATCAGTGCCTTTCATCATAGAATCAAGCAATTCACAAAATAGAAAATCTTCTAGTACTTTGTTTTTTTAATGCATTGGGAAAATACCAATAACTGACTGCAATTATCAACATCAGTTGGATGTTTATTTTTAGAGGGCTGGCTTTGATATCTTCTGTTATTTGTAGTAAAATATCATCACTGAGATATTAAATGCATGATTGAATCACATCATTCAGCAGCAGAATTTATTAAATTTTCTTTTGCACTTAGAATCGAACAAAATTTTAGCAATTTCAAGTGCACATGGTTTTACTAGTTCTTCAGCTATTGTACAGATCTTTTTTTTCTTAGTACATATATATGCTACTTGATAAGAAGCTTCTAGCAAAGGCTTTTCAACTGCTGCAATGTTAAATTTTGTAATAGTACCAATGGCATCAAATTATGCTTTCTTAGATTTCAAGATGTTTAGATTATATCCTGCATATTCCCCACCATAATATTATTGAAACATTCTAAGAACTTAAGATTTAAGATTAGAATTGGAAAATATTTTGCAAAAAAAAAAAAAAAAAAAAAAAAAAAAAAATACACTGTGGTCATTGCAAGCCATTTTTTCTGCTGTACAAATGAATCAATAAGTGATATAACTGTCTTTCTGTTAATGCTTTTTTGACATAATGAGGGTTACTACAATTTAAAAAATTTAATTAATTGGTATAAATTTTTATCTATGGATAAATTTATTTAATTTCAATAAATACTACACAACATTAATTAATTAAAGTAATACAGGTACAAACTTTGCTTATAATCTTATTCAAGGTATGTAGCATGTCTCAATTAGTTTCTGCATGTGACAAAGTGCCTACATTAACTGCATGTACTGACAACTGATGACAAGCATGATGTGCTGAGCAAGGATGTTAGAATAAATGGAGCAAACCTCCCCTGTATGTCATATGTAAAGAAACATCATGGTATGACATCGCAACTTATTGCCCCTGCCATAGGTTGTTTTTGTTTACATTCTAACAGGTACTGTTTGTTACATGCACAATTACCTTATTTATATATATATATTTTTTAATTCTGAAATGGTGGAATGGTGTCTCTTACAACCAGGGATGCACACACCACAGGTTCAGAACCACTGTCTAAGGCAGATAGGCCAGGTGACTTTGCCATATTCAAATAACCTAACTAACCTTCTTTTAAAATTCATATAACTACCTTTTCACAAATATTAAGAACAATGAACAAAACTATAAACAGGAATGAGCTTTTCAATTAAATAAATTTGTAAATATTATCAGTAATTATAGCACTACTTATTTCTAAATGCAAATGAAACAAATTCCATGAAGTGTAACAAATGTTTTCTTTTTAAATAGAAGGAAACATGTAAATAAATATATAACAAAAAACTTTAAAATGTTTATAGAATTTCAGTTCCAGCATGAAGTTTACTTGCTTTCAGGAAGTGTACTTTAAAAATTACACAAGATTTTAAAGTATTTATAGCTAATATAAAAATTAAAAAAATATTCAGTCATACCTCATAGGTTCAGGTAATTCTAGAAGGGTTTTGAAATCGAACATGATATGTTTTCCTCTGCAAAACCTCATGTACTTTGCACATTCAAAAAAGGTGCCATTCTAAAATAAAATTTTAAAAAAATCTTTCAGAGAAGGGGGAAAAATATATAAAATAAGAATGGTAGAGTTTTGAACAATTGAAAATTTCAATTAAATAAATTTTCCACATACTTTATGCTTTGAAGTACAAATTGGAATGATCTCATCCATTCGTTCCCTAATGTAACCAAAATCTCCTTGCTTAAAAAAAGTATCAGTTTGTTCTTGCTTTGATTTAGCCCTGTGAACAAGATAAATAAAACAATAGACAGGACAATTTTTAATGCTATGTTATATCCAAACATTTTATCAAGAACAGGCTTTAATTTTTGCAATTTTAAAACTTTATTACTAAAAGATATACACAACATTTTTATTCAACTTTGGAATTTAATTTTCAGATCAAAGCAAAAGCAAAGAATAATTAGGAGCTATTTTAAAGAAAGCTGCAGTATTTTTATGTAAAATACACCAATTTAGGTACTCTTCTGTTATCGGGACTGGATTCAGAAATGTATGCATGTGTGCCTGTATAAATGGTGTGACGTGATTGTGATTAAAGCCTCAAGAGCTATCTGCTTTTGGGGAGGGATGCCTTCGTAAAGGACTTTCTAAGGGTAACTGGCTGATATACATGTTACACATGGGGAAAATCATGAAAATGCCCATGCAGCTAGCCTGTTAGTGGGACTCAAATGTATGACACATATATTTCTTAATCCGGTCCCAATAACAGTATACAGTCAAAAGTCGTTAATCCGGACTCATCGGGACTTCAGCGATTCCGGATTATAGATAATCAGTTTAAATCTGGTAAGATGGCATGCAGAAATTATAAAATTAAAAATATGAAACCGTAATTTATGAAATAAGGAACAATTATGATCTAAAGGTATCTAAAATTTCAAAAAAAAAAAAAAAAAAAAAAAAAAAAAAAAAAAAAAAAAAAAAAAAAAAAAAAGGCTTAATATTTTTTTTTATTAAACATTTCTTTCAATGTAAGTTGTTTAAGTTGCTTCGTTTTTTATGTGATAATACATTCTCTTTAATTCTATAAACAGACATAACTTCTTGTTCATTTACAAAGTTCCACTGTTCAAGTCTTATAATTGCTGTGTCGGGAACACCGACTAATTTGTCAATTGAAATGTTTTCGTTTTCAATAACCTCTGTCACTTTCTTCGCTATCGGAAGCGCATTATAATGACGAGGAATTTGATTTAAATCATATCAAAGACGGAGTACATCGAGATGAAATACTACATTTAGTAAGATTATAAGCCAAATAAAATAAAAAAAAGTTCTGCCCTGAAGATAAGGATAGTGCTGAGAGATCAACTTGAATTTCATTGCGCGCCGTGGCGTTAAAGATAAACAAAGTTTAGATAAACAAACGTTAAAAGTCTAGATAAAAACAAAGGATATGCCTTTATCCATTTTTTTGCAGCAATTCCACTTTTTGTTTTAATGGACTTCGAAAACATACTTTCGCTTTGTAGATCCTTTACATATTAGTAAATATATATCAGAAATTCTATTTGACATAATCAAAAGTTCAAGCTTACTTTTATAAAATTGCTCTAACAGTCTGCAAAAAATAATAAGCTGAATCCAATTCGAAGATTTGTAGCCTTGGCTACTAATGTTTAAAATTAATTTATGACTAGGAACAGCATGAATTATAAACAAATAGCTAAGTTATTGCATTTTATTTTCCAGCTATCGAAATGCGACGCTACGAGCAACGTTTTGAAACCAAAACCAAAACCTCGCAATCATGAATCAGAACTAGAACTAGTTGCCATTCAGCATAAAGGAATTTAAATATAAATATGAACTACTTATTGCCATTCAGCATAAAAGAAATATAAATATGAATATTAACAAAATATTAAAGTTAATTTTATAAAATAATTAAACACATGAACAAATATATGAAATAAAAAATAATTATTTCTCATGCAATAACTGGGCCACTACTACACTACTCCCCCACCAGTAACTAAGTTACGTTACGAAGATGGAGAAATAGGTAGTAACTAGTATTGCAGTGTTAACCACTATCAAAATAATTTAGTCAGTCCTTGAATCTAACAGGTAAACGTATAGTTCTGCCTGTGCGAGAATGTTTTTGATTCACATGCGAATTTGAGTCCGGTCTCTGAAAATTAGTGTAGTCAGGTTGTATCAACTGAGAATTTTCCTCAGCTAAAATATATGCTGGTTTTAAGCGATCCAGGGATACATTAACATGTTTTCCTTTTATGCTAATAGTAAATATTTGTCCTTGCGATCAATAACAGGAAAATGGTCCTTCATAAGGAGGTTCCAGAGGTTTTTTTTACCCGATCTATTCGCTGAAAAACACATGAGAACAAGTTTTTAAGTCTTTATGTACAAATATCTGTTCAGATGAATTTTTACGAATTAGTCTCGGTCCAACAACTTCCATCTGTTTCTGGAGTTTATTAGCAAAAGTCTCCGATGCTGTCTTGGATACTTGGTTCGCTGAAAAACTCTCCAGGGAAGTCTGAGACTCTGGACATAAACTACTTGCGCAATAGAATGATTGGTATCTTCTTGAATAGCAGTATACGCAAACCCAAAAGTACTGTTTGTAACGTGTCCGTCCAAGATATGTTGTTGTGGGCTTTTAATGCTGTTTTTGAATGTTCGATGAAGGCGCTCAAACTTTGCCATTACACGAGGGTGGTAGGCAGTAGTGTGTTGTAAACTGATGCCACAGATTTTGGACAAAGCTCGTAATGTATCACTTTTAAATTGGGATCCACGATCACTAATGAGTTTACTTGGCGTTCCGAAACGCGGCAATCCAGTTGCTATAAAAGGCTCTTGCGACGTTCTCAGCGGAAACATTCTTCTAAAGGAATTGCTTCCATCCAATTCGAAACTCTATCTATGCAAGTAAGACAATAAATATTCCCTTTAGATGGTGGGAAGTGGTCCTATGAGATCGATACATGGATGACAGAAAATCTTCCTGGTGGTACTTTCAAACTCACCTAATTTTGTTTTGGTGTGCCGACTGATTTTAGCTTTTTGGCAAGGAATGCAGGTTCTTGTCCACAACTGTACATCTTTTTTTATGTTAGGCCAAATGAATTTTGATGTCATTAATTTCATAGTCGATTTTATTCCTGGATGTGATAAACCATGAATTCGTTGAAAGACGTGTTGTTCTGAAAGCCTGAGGAATATACGGCCGAATATGTTTAGTTGATGTATCACACCAACAAATATTCCCCGAAGGTAGAGAACATTGCTTGAAATTCAAGGAAAATAGTGGTTTGCAAACTCTTCAGTTCTTCATCTTGAGTTTGTTCATCAGCTATTTTATCATAATCTATCGATGAAATTTCATTAACTCTAGATAATGTATCCGGCCACAATATTATTCTCACCTTTTACATATTTGATATCAGTCGAAAACTGGGAGATGTATTGAAGTTGGCGAGCCTGTCTAGGTGCTGCTTTGTCAAGTTTTTGACGAAAGGCGAATATTAAGGGCTTGTGATCTGTATAAATTGTAAATACTCTTCCTTCTAGATAATGCTTAAAGTGTCCTAACTGAAAGATATATGCTTAATAGTTCTCTATCATAGGGTGCTATATTTTTGCTGAGTATCACTTTAATTTTTTTAGAAAAAAATGCTATTGGCTTTCCACGAGGAGTTTTCATATTGTTGCAACACTGAGCCAATCGCCGTATCTGAAGCATCTGTAAATAACGCCAGAGGTAATTCAGAATTGGGAAAAGACAACAGTGCCGTGTTCACCAGGTCATTCTTGCACGTTTTCAAACTGTTTTTCAGCTTCTTCAGTCCAATTCGATTTTACGTTTGTCCCTCTTTTTAGCTCCCTTAAGATACGCATGTAACAATGCTTGATTCTTCGCTGCATCCTTTATATAACGACGATAAAAGTTAAGTATTCCAAGAAAGTATTCCAAGAAAGTTCTAAGTTCATGAATTGTTTCTGGTCGTTTGTAGTTAGTAATAGCTTGAACTCTTTCTGGCAAAGGACGGGAAACCCTTAGGTGTAATTAGGTAGCCTAGAAACTCGATTTGGGGGAACAGCAAAGACAGATTTTGAAACATTAATTCTTAACCCAAAGGTATGTAATCTTTCGAAAACTAATTTAAGGTGATTTTCGTGTTCTTCATGGGGTACTGGATGCAATGAGTATATCGTTTAAATAGGGAAAAACGAATTCTAATCCTCTAAAGACTTCGTGAATAAATCTTTGGAACGTTGCAGGAGCATTTTTTAAACAGAAACTCATTACATTAAATTCGTATAAACCGAAAGGAGTGATGATAGCCGTTTTACATTTGTCTTCTTCTGCAATAGGAATTTGAAAATAAGCTTTGAATAAATCAATTTTAGAAAAAATATTTGTACCTCTTAAAATATGATGAAAATCTTCAATGCGAGGAATTGGGTATCGATCAGGTATCGCCTGCGCATTCAATCGTCGGTAGTCTCCGCAAGGACGATATGAACCATCCTTTTTCGTAACAAGGTGCAAGGGGCTTGACCACTGGGAGTTTGATGGACGAATTATTCCATTGTCAAGCATAAATTTAAATTCCTCTTTAGCTATAGCTAAGCGTTTTGGATCGAGCTGTCGTGCCTTTGAATAAACGGGTTGACCATCAGTCGTAATAAAATGTGTAACACCATGTTTAATTTGTGTAGGAAAAAGGTTAGGTTTAGAAATTTCGGGATATTTCGACAGTAAATCGAAAATTTTTATGGATTTATTTAATGTGGTTACTGAGTAATCACTGGAAATAGCAGCGACATCACACTGGACACAAAGCTGTGTTACGCCATCAATTTAATTTTTTCTTATTTATATCGATAAGCAATTTATATTTGTGAAGAAAGTCAGCTCCTAAAATACCTTTTGTGACATCAGCAATTATGAAATGGAAACTGAAAATCACGACGTAATCCCAAATCAAGAGTTAGCGTTTTTATGCCTAAGTGGAAATATGTGTGCCATTAGCTGCATACAGTTTATATTCAGTTTTTACATTTATTCTGTGAAGTAGCAGGAATTATGCTTACGTCAGCTCCGCTATCAATAAGAAAGTGCAAATTTGATCTTCGGTCACGAACGAATAAACGAAAATTTGCGACAATCCTTCATATTTTCTGCAAGCAGCGTTTGCCGCTGAACCTACTGCAGATTCGAGTTTTCCTGGTTTTTGAAATCGTTTTTTTACCCAAGCACACGGAGGCTTGCATTTCTCTGGAATGCATTTGCTCCAAAACGAAAGTGATAAAAAACAAAATTTGCCAGTAGGGTCATATCGTTTACGAGATCGGCTTCGACATCGTGAACGTGAATTACGTAAATCCGAGTCCCTGCGTCTTGAGCGAATGGTTATTTGATCAATTTTTTTGTTCAAGAAAGGTAATTCTTTACAACAAATCATTTTGCGGGAACGGAAGGAGCATTAGTACTAAATACTTCTGGTTTCCGATTCATATCACTAATTTTATCTGCCATAGACGCTAACTTGGTTACATCTTCATCACTAACTAATAATATATTTTTTATGGAGTCAGGTAGCTTCTCCAGCCATAAAGTTTTGATTAGATTTTCAGACACATCTGTAGTAGCAACTGATCTCAACTTCTGCAAAAGTTGGCTTGGTTTCATATCTCCAAGTTCGATACCAGTAATCAAATGTTTAATCCGTACATTTTCACTTTCTTTGAATAAATGTAATAACCTAATTTTAGCATCCGAATATTTTGTGGCACTATCGTTCGTTACAATGTCCCAAATATTTTCGACGAACTTAGGTTCAAGCTGTGAAACTAAATAATTAAATTTCGTTTCTTCTGAAACGATATTACTAAGTTTGAACTGAGCTTCAACTTGAAAAAACCATATTTCCGGTTTATCAATCCAAAAAGGAGGTATTATTTTTTACACTCACCTTATGAAGCTCCGGTGACTGCATCGTATCTTTCATAGCAGTTTCAGAAGAGTCATTTTGTTGACATTTCGAAAAATTAATCAAGGTCACCACGATGTAGCCTTGGCTACTAATGTTTAAAATTAATTTATGACTAGGAAACAGCATGAATTATAAACAAATGTTAAGTTATTGCATTTTATTTTCCAGCTATCGAAATGCGACGCTCGCTACGAGCAACGTTTTGAAACCAAAACCTCGCAATCATGAATCAGAATTAGAACTAGTTGCCATTCAGCATAAAGAAAATTTAAATATAAATATGAACTACTTATTGCCATTCAGCATAAAAGAAATATAATATGAATATTAACAAAATATTAAAGTTAATTTTATAAAATAATTAAACACATGAACAAATATATGAAATAAAAAATTATTATTTCTCATGCAATAACTGGGCCACTACAGATTAAGGAACAACGCAATCTGCAACATTAACTGAATTAGATAATTTTAGCTTAGCTTATACTGTCAATTATACATTAAACGCGCATTCGTAAACGTATTTTGCGCACGTGAACACGCATATTCGCAGCCGTAAAGGTCTTACGCGCATTCGTCAACGCGACGCATGCGACGCGTTGATATTGAAGTTTGTATCTTTGAGGTCTGGATTATGGGTGTCCGAATTAATGACTTTTGACTGTAGTATCAAATTTTATGCTACAAACAAACAGGACATTTACAAGAGTATTTGGTATTCTTAGGCAGAACAAATTTATGTTTTATGATGATAAGCACGCCTATATAATATATGAAATGAAACCTCCCATATAGAACCGTTTTCAGTTCCAGATGATTTAGGTTTTTTATGAAGGTGATCACTTTACAAAACACGACTAGTGATGATAATACTATTATTAGTTCAAAGGGGCTTTGTCCCTGAAGGATATTTGTTTTGGTTTTGTGATTTTGCGTTGATTCACTACAAACGGCGAATTACTTTTCAAACTATTGCCACAAAGTATTATCGCCCTGTATTATATTTAAAGAAATCAAATAATGAAAAATCTGCATAAATGTATGCATATTTCTCACATTGTGATAAAACAGCGGTACATAGAGCCATCGAATTTTGAATGGCATAATCCTCCTACAAATATGGACATGTGGAAGACCAAATCTGAAATTTGGAATTTGTTTTATTATCGATTTCCTATTTTGTAAAACTTTAACGAATTTTTTATTAACAAACTCAAGGATTTCAAAGTGAGCAATGACAACGTTGTACAGAAAATACATTTTTATCTCTCTATCGAAAATTCTAAAGATACGCTTATTTTAAAACTATTTTGCAGTATTGCTCTTGAATTGAATTTTATGGTTTAAGTGAGAAGAATGTGATATTTAATAAATAAATGTAACTCAAAAAATTTTAAAACAACGCCTCTTTAGACATAATTTAAAATCTGAAACATTTCAGATTTTCTTTTTTTTTTAATTATATTTTCAAATTATAGTTGTTGGCTTTTACAGGTATTTGTCTTCGTGAGTAATCTAGTGAAAGATTTCATTACATAGTGAACCTTCTTTTATATAAGACAACAACTCATAGTTTCAGATGATCTGATATTTGATCATCATTGTGAAGTTGATACCTGTTGGACATTGATTTAAGTAATATTTAACTAGACTTCAAAATCAAAAAGAGCTAGTCATCTTTGTTTGTTCATGAGGAAAATATGTGCTCCTGTATCTTGGTGCCTCTGGCAACATAGCCTTGCTAAAAGTAAAAACCAGCACTGTACATAAATACTTTGATATTAGTAAATACCGGATTTTAACAGTTTCCTGTCACTGCAAATATCATCTGTGCAAACAGTTCACGTTGTCGGGTTTAATCATAATTTGTCAAACAATTTGTGTTGTAAAAAAAAATATCATTAAGTCTGAAATGGAACTGTCATGCTACCAGATAAGAACCATCATTTACTTCCACTTCTGTCACAAAATGTCATCAAATCACGTGTATAGCTTAAGGTACTAATGCTGTATCAAATGATACTGTGAAGGTTTGGTACCAAAAGTTCAAAAACATAGACTATGACATTCAGAAAGCAGAGCACTCTGGTCAGCCTACTGATGTTGATGAGGAAATCTTAGATTTGGATGGTGATTACCACCTGCACTAAAGGTACTGCTTTGATGTTTCCCCCCCCCTAACTTTTACTAATAACAATTTTTGGTGGAAAACTTTCATTCCAACCACATATTATTTTATTCCATGACATAATAAATGATTATGAGATAACTGTATTAATCATCTTTAGTTATTCTTTCGGTACTTTTTCGTTTGGCTGGCGCAAATCTCGCCAAGCAGACTTTGTTGGCGACAAGACACAGTACACACATAAATAACAAATGTTAGTTCTAAGAATTTTTTATTTTGAAAGCATAAACATTTTAATATCATTTAAAATTTTGTAAAAAAGACAATAAATAAAGGCATTAAATTTGTAAAAAGACATTAATTTAAAAATTTACCATGATCTCATGGTTCAACATCCTGATTCAGCGGTTCATATCACATGACCACAAGTGATCTCATCTCTCGTAAACTACGCTACAAAAATCTAATTCTGTCAGTAATTATCTACATTAATTTTAAGTTAAATCTTAAATTAAGCCTTATGGAATACAAATTTAAATGCAAGAACTATTTCAATCGTACGGATAGCTTACTAAGAAATTATGTAAAACCGCAGTGCTTTACTTCACTAGAGCATTCTCATTAGAATTGATGAATTTAACCCTTGATTTCGCTTTTTCTATATTTTCGCCTTCGGGTGAGCAGTGTGATTGCATCCTAATTGACTTAATTACTGCGAAAGCCCTTAGTGATAGAAATTACTTAAATGGCAGATATATTTTGAAAATATAGTAGAAAGAAATAAGCAAAATAACTAATAGTTAGCTAAGTAAATAAACATGTAACGTGCATTTGTGGTTTGCTTATTTCTTTCTACTATATTTTCAAAATATATCTGCCATTTAAGTAATTTATATCACGTTATCAACACGATATGCTCTAAAGAAGTTTATTTAGCAGAAACAAAGAAGAAATTTTGACTTTTCCGAAAAAAACAAGAAGCAAAATCCACAGTGGCGGCAAAGTTAAGCCTAACACGTTGAAAGTAATTTCTATATCTTAGGGCATAAAACTGAACTATCTGGTAAAAATTCTATGTAATTTTATGCCAGTATTGAAAGAAACAATCAATCTGATAAGAAATTGTTGCTACTTATTTTGAAAATCAGGTGTAAAAGGTTACAGCGAGGAAATTCCGTTTGGCATCGGTTTTGCCATTTTTGGTGACTTTATCGCCTGCACCGGCAAAATGGAAAAGTACGTTTTATTCAATCTGGCATTTATAGCTCTTTTATTTTTTCATTAAAAATAAATACCAAATATACAAACAATGAAAACAGTACTTCATACAACAGCATATTTTTAAAAGGAAATAAAATAAAAATGTAAAAACATATTTCTGCAAAATAAATTAGTTTTGATTTATAGGAAAATTTTTAGCTTCATACTTTCCAATTCTGAATTATAATAAATCTGATGTTATATCAATTATCAGATATTTAACATCAAGTATATCATCACATAAAATTAAGGAAAAGTTTTTACCATCCTTTGCTACTTCTGTTGCAGACAGGAACAGAGAATCTTTGGTTTACAGCACAATTTTTCTCATAGCCCCAGCATTTATTAAGACCAATAAAATTCTAAGGAAGGAAAAAAATATGCCTATCCATAATTAATTACATGAGTTATAAAATTTTTATTAAAATAAAATAAATCATTTTTGAATATTAAGGAACCCTTTATTATTAGCATATACAAGACAATGGATATAACCATCATTTTATTTTATACAATTTTATTCTACACCTAAATATAATATAATATAAATAAATAAATAAAAAAACAATAACAAACAAACAGCAATTAACAGTTTGTTTGTGTGAAGTGAAATGGATATCCATAAAATATTTTTGAAATTTAACTCAGAAAATGGTAGGCAGATGATTGCCATTTTAAGAATCTTGCAAATACAAACAAACCTTTTCTCAAAGAGTGAAATTTCTGCATTGTCAAAAAGAGTTAAAGAGTTTCATCTTTTAGAAAACAAAACCCCAAATTCTGAGAAGTTTTGTAAAGTCTGCTGTGTACGTTCCACACAGTGCTATTACCTTATTTATGATAAATGAAAAGAAAACCTGTTCAGACATGGTTAAACATCTAATTTTTTAAGAAAGACCCTTCAGAAATCAGTGCTTCTCGTCGACCTAACATGTCAACTTCTTTAATCTCTCATACAACCTCTTCATTACTAATGTTCAATTGACTTGTCATTAAGTCTTCAGAAGGCAAGTCAGATGTTGGTTCATCCACAGCCATGTAAATATCTACTAGACCCTTCCTCACCTCCCCCAATGGTTCAATGACAACAATCTAAAGCACATACTGTAAATAACTAAAAAAGTCACACAGCAATTCATTATTTATTTATAATTTTGTGTTTGTAATTCACTGTATTTAAAAGTTAAAAGGTATTACTTATTTTCACATTTTTAATTGTTTATTTGAGAGTATTTACAACTTGTATCTTACAAATATTGTTAGAAGATGTGCAAAGCAAACCAAGAAGCATTTTCGGACAAATTCCAGGGATGAATGCTCATTCAGATAGCAACTTGTTTGCAAGGTGAAAAGCACTGATACTATCACCGAAATAAATTTCATCAGAAATATTTCATGAACAGTCATTTTTTGTGACATACCTGTAGTAGGATATCATCAACCTGCTTTTACTTTTATAATTAAGGTTATAAATTTTTATTTTGACATGCATAAAGAAAACAAACTTCTCTATCAAGAAGTTAACAATATTGTCAAAAATAATATTTCTGGGACTTTTACTAACAGCACAAAAACAACAGCAATTACAAAGACTTGTAATTTCATTGTGATTAAACAGACCTCTCTTCCAAATAAACATTTTATTGCAGTTGTCATGGAGAGGGGAAAAAGAGTAAAAAAACTCACACTTTAGTTTAAATGAAATACCAATATTTTTATATCAACAGAAGTGATGAATGCTGGAGATACTCTATTCCTAAAATCAAAGGGAAGACCGGGAGGGGGGGAAGAGAAATGAGGAGTATATGCACAAGTTTTGAAAGGACTACAGTTTTCAAATTCAGTGATCAATGAACCACTATTACTTTTTTATGCCATCAAGACTATATGAAAGTGATTATCTAAGGTATGAATTCATTATATATGACTGTTAAAACATAATTTTTTATGCTTATATTTTGATAACATTTCAAATTCTGGAACAAATACAAATGGAGGGAACATGTTTCTTTCATACTAGTAGTAAAATGAAGATTTGTGTACAAGTACTTAATTGTTTAAATTCCATTTCGCTTTCCAAATAGATTTTCAGTGTTACAGCCATTTTGTACCTCAACACAGAATATTCAAAGAGGAAATAAGGAAATATAACAAGTTGTTATATTTTGTAACAAAATATAACATTTGTGTATTTGTTATATTTTACATTTTTATAATGTACTTGTCATATATTATAACAATATATACAGAAGCGTAGCTAGGGTTTTCAGCGCCCGGGGACAACTGAGATTTTGCGCCCCTTTCTGTGTACCAAGAATGTAAAACATTTCATTCTAAAATTTCATAACATCAATTTGGCGCCCCCTGGATGCTGCGCCCAGGGACAGCTGTCCTTCCTTGCCCCACTCTAGCTATGTCCCTGAATATATGACAAGTACTGCATTTTGTCTTTTTAACCGAAAAATTAATAGAATGACTTTAATAATATCATACAAAATACTAGTCCGAGTGCTATATTTTTTTAGAATTATTCTGGCTTTTGTTTAAGGCATGCTCTTTAAGTGACTTAAATAAATTCGGATATGTATAATATTCCTATATTCCAAAGCATGAAACAAATTTTCCTCTTTTAAGACATATTAGTAAATGTGAAAATGCTACTGGCACAATTTTTAATAGTACTTGATGCATCTAGAATAAAATGTTTTCAGTAATAAATTGAATGTAGAATTAATAAGCATTTGTACCTTATATGGGCAATGATCTGACTCCTTACAAGCATTTGATGCTGCAGGATGGCTCGTAAAATAATATGCCATATGTTCCGGTGGTAAACTTAACTCATAATCTTCGGATTTTACATCCTCCGTCCAGATATGGCAAATTATGCACAAGATAAACAATGATAGAAAGCAAAACTTCCTGAAAAATTTCATAAATTCAAAAATAAATTGCATTTCACCATCAAATATATTTATTGCTAATGACAGAAAAAAACTGAAACTTACATTTTGATAATAAAATTATGTACACATGCTGAAAATTCAATTCATCAGATTCTAAAACAAAACACCGGTTTTAAAAATTATTTAATGTCGTCCTTTAAATAATATTATCGGCATACTAACACCGATTTAGAGAACATAAACATTATAATTAATCTGTAACTTGATATCTAACCATCACAGATGATATGGTGGTATGTAGCTCTCATAATTTATAGATGTTATGCGAAGAAATAACAACTTCTCCGGTTGTTGACATTGACAACAGGATGTTGTGGGTGGTTGCTCACAGTTAAGGAATAGTAACCGTCAAACCAAATGTTAGCAAAGGTGAGAAACAAAATTAGAAATAGTTGGGAAAATAGCACGCAAACTGGAGCCTTAAAAATTGAAAAAGTTAACAACAATTTTGAGTTAAGTTTAAGAAAAAAACTCTCAGTGAATTTTAAGAGGGAAAAGTGCAGAATCACCCACTGCTTGGCGCGTTTTTAAGAATTGCACATACTCGGTACCCATGTACCCATCGACCTATTTTCACTTAAAAAAAATATCCCAGAATTGCACAAAAATAGCATTTTGCACTCCCTTGGCATTATCCATGCACACGTCGACCTATTTTCACTTAAAAAGTCAAAGAAAATTGACAAAAATCCAATTCTTCTTACTCTTGCAAAAAGCGATAAACAAATAAGTGGGTGATTCTGCACTTTACCCTTTTAAGATATGATATTATTGGTCTTGACGACAAGGAAACGATTTAATATTCCTCCTAAAATTAAATCAAAATCATCACCACTTCAAGTTAATTTTGGTTATTCTAATATAGTAAAAGCATACGAGAGTTATCTGAGACGGGAAGACAGGACTTCTTCATGGAGGATTCTTTTCTTTCTTCATGGAAAATTTTCGCGTCACATTACCTTATACAGTAAACACTGAAAAATCTATGAAACCAGCCCTTTCGTATGTGTTCGAACCCGGGTTGAACTACCAATATCAGTTCGAGCGACTTTACGCACTTGCTATTAGTGGAATCTAAATCACTCAACCACTGTTGGAGCTATTTCAGTCGTTAGTAAAATACTACAAATCACAATCGTTTAAATATAATAAGTCAGTGGCCGAGTGGTAAAATGCTGAACGTTGATAGTTCGACCTGAGTTCGGATCCTAAGGGGTGGCTGCACAGGAGTTTTCGCGATTTTTCCCAATGTGTACGAGTCAGTTTCACCTTTTGCACGAATCTTTTTATTTTTGACACTTCACACAAAACAGTAACAATATCTCAATCATTACAACAACAAAAAGCACTTCTAACCTACTTACCGTCATTGTTCTATATACTCACACTCATCGTTGCCAGTTCTAAAAAAATTCAGAAACTTTCTTTTTTTATTCTCGTTGATCTGGAGGCTCGATCCGTTCCCCAAGAGTGGAGCATGCGTCGTTCGCGACACACTTAAAAAGCCATCCTACAAGATATGTCTTCCCTTATGCAGATAGCTCTTGCTAACTTTGCCTCGAACATATATGAAAAAATGGTACTAATCTCTCTTTTCTCCCTCTCCTTTTACTTTTTAAAAATTTTCACACCATTAGAATGTTAAAAAAAATTTCCAAAAAGAAGCCTCATGAAAGTCATTATTTATTTATTACCGCTTGTAGTAATTTATTATCTGCCTTCCTTTTGATTATAGAACATTATATATTATATTACACACTTATATTCTTAAACAATATTGTTTCAGCTTTTTAAGACAGACGAAATATGTAATATCGGTTATGTAATGTGTTGTTTGAAAATTTACGTATGATAAAAAAGAGCTTTTAATTTCTCGAAATCACAATATGTGATAATTTTATCCTTTTTTGCTATCAAAGGTGGTTTTCAATGCATTAACATAATCCTTTTTTGGACTCTTTCTTCTTTAATGTCAGATGATCATCCTGTTTCTATTTTGCAATGGTATAAAATAGTGCGTACGTATTTTTTTTCAAGCCTAATTATTTCACTTGCAACCAGTATGACAGTTCTAACCAAATTTATAATGTGCAAAATTTTGGCAGCAGTAAACAACAGAATGCAAGCTACAGCGATTGCGCCTGGATAGGTCTGGTTTAGAGGTCTTGTTGGGGGTCAAACTTGAGAGAGCATCGCAAATTATTATCACATTAAATAATTTCTTGCTCATTTACTGTAAATCTGTACAATATCTATCTCAAATTGCACACTGACTTTGTAGGGTAAATTTAAGGTGAATAATAATGGACTAAGACCGATGTATCACACATATTAAGTAAAGATAAGTAAATCTAGTAAGCTCAGTTTCTCACTGAAACAGAATTTCTCAAAATCAGAACTGTTAATCGCTAAGGCCACGATAACATGAATAACATGAGCTAATTCCCTGTCGGGTAGACGTCCTGTAATAATTGCTGTCTTTGCTTCTGGTTTGGAATATGTCAATGCTTACACGCTTTCTTATTCAGAGTAGAAGAGAGAGTTTAAGGTTACTGCCAATGGTCTGAAAAGCATGCCAACGAAGGGTCCGGAAAGCCTTAGGGGTACTTTAGGTCTCCCATCTCATTCCTCACGAAAAATTCATAACGAAAAGGGAGGAAATATTTCCACCGCTCCGATAAACATTTGGCGACGACCATGTTGGCTGATTTCACATGTGTGTTTCATTTTGCTAGAAGTGGTTAAAAACGTGAAGCAATCTTTTCAAAATGAAGAAATTCTGCATTCTAAAAATTAAGTGATAGACCAAGTGAGCAAGTCGTAATATTATAACTTTGCACTCAAACGTAAGGAATTTATATTAACCATAATGAATATTTCATCAGGTTGAAATTTTCTGATGGGGGATGTATGAAAAGTTATAATTTACTACATACATGACCCATCCTATTCACTATGTAAAAGTTCTTTTCATTATATGTCCTTTTTTTTACTGTTAAATGTTTTAATTTGATGCATATAGCATCTACAGTAAAAAAACACTGATGTAAGTAAGTAATAAAAAACAAGCACTGATGTATTCAGTTTTTTCTGAGGTCGAATCCTGGATGTAACAAGAAATTTTCAGAACAGCCAAAATTGAATTTAAGAACAGTCTCAGAACATTAAATGTTCAGCCATCGGGTGTTATGCAAGTATTCATCTATGAATCAAATTAACTGAACAAGAAATGCGCATTAAATTCTGTGCATAAAATTTTATTCACTCTCGTCATTATTAAGCACTAAAGTTCAGATCCCCCCCCCGAAAAAGAATCCACGAATTACAAAATACTTCTGCAGAAATAAAAGCAAGAAAACGCAAATTTTAATGAATGAGGATTTTTTTATTTATGGTGAATTTTAGCCATTAATTTTAATAAACACGTTACTCGGCAGTAATATTACAATAATTAAAAAAATAAATACTGCAGAAAAAAGAGAAGTAGAGATAAACAGATATTGAAGGGGGGGAGGAGTTAAGTATGTAATAGTCTTTCATAAAAATTTTATATTTAAAGAATTTAGCTTATGAAGCTTCCGATAAAATCTATGCCTTAAAAGCATAGATTTTATTTTGCTTGAAGTTTCAATACACTGTTTCAATACACTTTATTTTCTTCCTTCTTTCAGCAAGCCATTGTGGTGTAACTGGAGGCACACTCGACGGGCATTCGGGAGGTCCGGATTTCTGAGGATTTCCCCAGTTTCTCGGCTTTGAAAAAATGTTGAGGACTCTGCAAGTGGGGCCCGAATTAAAAGGTGGTAAAAGATAATTCGTCACCAGCAGGATTTGGAGACCGGATCACCTAATTCCCAATCGCCCTTTAAAAGGGGAACTATATAAGGTATTTTCACTCTTCTTTCCTCATACCTTCGTGCTATAACTGGAAGCACACTCGAGGCGTATTCGCGAGGTCCGGAGTTTGAGAGAAGGCACTGCTAATTTTTTCAATTTTCTGACATCGAAAAAATTTCTGATTACTCGGACACATTAAATGCATGTTTTAAGATTATAAATATATATGATGAGAAGGATTCGTGATTATTTTTTGCAAGTTTTTGAATAATTCACATTTTTGATTTACATAAATCACAGTGTATTTTTAGTGTAATTTCCTTTTTACGTTCCACTACTGCGCTACTGACTGTTGGACAGCAGCAAAATACAAAATATAATTTTTTATACATTCTTTGCCAATCTCTAGCTTTTTTTCATGGCTTTATATTTTATATATTTCGACTTAATTCTGTATTTTTCGGCATACCTCTTTCCTATGTAGATTTATTTATTTGTCGTGAATACAATGTTCAGTGCAATAAGGAATCATTACATTATTTTATACTTACTCTTGACCCGCCGCTGGGCGAGTGCTAAATATCACTGGGTTCGATCTCAGGCGAAAGAGTGGCTGTATGGTTGGATTCTCTGATTTTTCCCATGTGTAACGTGATACGAGCCAGTTTCGTTTAGAAAGTGCCTTCACGGAGGCATTCCTTCCCTTATGCCAATAGTGCTCGTTTGCTTTGCAATACTCAAATAACTTAACCTGCGCTTTGCTTTTGTGGTGCAACTGGTAACACGTACAACTAGCACTGAAAGATTCGTAGCCTGAATCCCTCACAATTAATTTTCCACGTTTTCTGCAGCGAAAAAACATAATGCCTATACAAAATGCTCTCCAAAAAGCAAAGGCTGAGGAAGACAAACTGATATTTTATATCAGGCCGAAGCTAAGGCCCAATTTTTACTTTCTTTGCTGATTTAATAGTAGAGGAAAAATAATTCAGTAAATTTTGACTTCTCAATTTTTGTAGTAAAAACAATTATCTCCTTTTGTCTGGAATCCCTATAGGCACACGCGTACATTGCTTAACAATTAATCCAGACCTGATAAAAATCCTCACTACCAGCTCTGCTGATATACTGCCATTGATCGGCTTATGAGTTTGAAACTTTAATAACAGTGCATAACAGTGTTCTTTCAAGGTCTCTTTGTACAATATACCTTCGCTTTGTCAGTTTTTTGGTAAAGATTACTGAAAAGGTAAAGATTACTGAAAGGCTCAGGTGATAATTATGTTTTGGGTACGTGTCATTTTTGGGAAACTAGAGTTCTTCTTTAGTAAGTACTAAGTTTTTCATTATAAATTAATGTATGTATTCGGTAGAATTAATAAAACGTAGAATTAATGAAACAAAATTAATAAACATATTCATCAGCATAAAATAAGTCAGAAAATCACAGGACATGATTTATTCATTATCA